TAGATGATTTTGAAGGTCCCTCCCAACCCAAACCATTCTATGATTCTATAAGCAACCCGCTGGCCATCAGGGCAGAACCTCTGAGCCCAGCTGTCCTGCATTGTCTCCGCATGCTGGGACACTGCAGGTGAAGGCCTGGAGCCTTTGCCCACCCGTTCCCTGACCGAGCGAGTGCAGATCTGGGACTGTGGCCTTTGGTTCAGCTAGTGCCATCTTACCTGCCCAGGGGATGTCCTGCCCTTAGGGCTCCTCGCACCCGCTGGCCATCAGGGCAGAACCTCTGAGCCCAGCTGTCCTGCATTGTCTCCGCATGCTGGGACACTGCAGGTGAAGGCCTGGAGCCTTTGCCCACCCGTTCCCTGACCGAGCGAGTGCAGATCTGGGACTGTGGCCTTTGGTTCAGCTAGTGCCATCTTACCTGCCCAGGGGATGTCCTGCCCTTAGGGCTCCTCGCAGATGTGGAGGTGCTGAGTGTTTGCCTTGTCCTCCTTCAGATAATGTTAAACTTTGTTGTGTTACTGTAGCTGGGTTGGATTATCAGAAAGCGGCACAAAACTTAGAAAGCTGAGAGTGGTGGCTTTGTAACGAACCTGCTAAAAATAGGGAATGGGATTATAATCCTAACCAGGAGACCTTTCTTGGCACTCCAGGGAAACTGTCCTTTAATCTTCTTTTCTGCTTTGTAAGGGGGCTTTACCTTCTCTTCAAAGCCTCTCTGCTGATCAGCATCAATTTTGTTTAACTCCTGTGATGTCTGTCCTGCAATTCCCTGGTTGTGTTGCCATCTCCCAGTTAAAATCCAGGGAGACTTTAGCAGGCAGGAGGGGAGCGAGAAAAATTCCTTGCCTTAGTGACGACCTCCTGCATCCTCCTTAGACCCCACCGGGCTGCAAAAAGATGAGGTGGACGATGTAGCCACTTGTCCTCAGTCCCAGGTGTGGCACCTCCTCAAACATGAGGGTCTTTGTTAAATAGTCATGCTGCTCTCTTGCTGATTGACTCCAGACTGCTGTGGTTTTGGTGGTGTGTGGTGGTTAGGCTGGATCCAAAACGGTTTCACGAGTATCCCAGTGGAGGTGAAAGACCTTCTGCACTAGATATTTGCAGATTGGCTGCTCTGAAAATCCAAAATCTGAGCAAAGGGGGGAAAAAAATGAGCTTCTGCTCAAAATAAGTATGTACCTGTAATGTTACTGCTACAGACAGCTTGAAAATATGCTCTGTGGGTGCCTTACTGTGCTGGGAACCAAACTGGAGATTTTGAAAGCCCCATATCCACCTTTCTGGAGGAGATGGTGCCCGCTCCCACTCTGTGCTGCTTGTGTCTCGAGGCAGGGATTGTCTCCAGGACATCTTAGTCCTTCGGCTCTCTGGCCCTGAGCAGCTGCCCCCAAAGTCCTGTGCTGGGCTGGGTGGTGGGTGCCTTTGGAAAACGCTTCGTGGGAGCTGGTTTTGCTCCGGGCTGCCACAGATTCCCAGTGTGCCAGCTGGGTGTTTGCCGTTTGCTGCCCACGAGGGCCCAGCCCCTTCATCTGGCAGTGGAAATGCCTTTTTTTTTTTTTCCTCCCCCTCTAAATTATGTCTTGCTTTCCTCTGCAGATCTCCAGCAAAAGAGGAGGGATGTGTTTGGAGGGAGGCAAGGAAGCACCTGCAAGTCTCTTGGTTTATTTTTAGCCTGTTTCCCAAAGAAGCAAGAGCTGTGATCACAACCCACGTGTCTTTTCTTTAGTTCTGAGTATTTTTTTGGGGGGGAAAAAAAGGGAGTAAGATAAAAGAGAGCATCTCCATCTTCCCCTGACACCCCACCAGTACCCTTTCAGGCAGAAAAGCACCACCAGCACCAGAGTGGTGCAGATCCTGCAGGGTCCCACCCTTTTTTCCAAGGGTGTGTAGTGACAGGACAAAGGGCAATGGCTTTAAACTGAAAGAGGGGAGATTTAGATTGGATATGAGGGAGAAGTTCTTCCCTCTGAGGGTGGTGAGACTCTGGAACAGGTTGCCCAGAGAAGTTGTGGATGCCGCATCCCTGGAAGTGTCCAAGGCCGGGTTGGATGAGGCTTTGGGCAACCTGTTGTAGTGGAGGGCATCCTTGCCCATGGCAGGGGGGTTGGAACTAGATGATCTTTGAAGTCCCTTCCAACCCAAACCATTCCATGATTCTTGGTGTCCACCTGTTAGGGCTGGATGTCTGACTGCAGTTTTGCCAACTGGGAGAGCAGGGAGCGGGGAGAAACCACCGGAGAAGATTAAAGCCCAGCGAGCAGTTTTCATTGGCCATGTAAAATCACAGCTCGGGAATTAAGGCTTCAGGCAGCTCACAAATAGCCCGGCTTTCCGCCGGCGCGCTCGTGTCGCCAGCCCGGCACCGCTGCCAGGAACTGGGCTTGGGAGCTGGGCTGGAAGGGAGGAAAAGCAACAGGTAAGGGTGCGGTGTAGCCTGTGCCCAGCTGGCACGCTGCCCATCCCTCTTACCCCTTCCCAGTTTGTCTGGGGTTTGATGAAATGGTTGTAAGGGATTTGGGCAGCTTGAAATTCCCCTTTTCCTACTGGTTCCCGCTAAAGAGCGGATGAAGTTTTGAGGGAGGAGAGGGAGGAAAGCTCTGTTCCCTCGGGCTGGGATCTGCAGGCAGGGGCTGGGATCTGTGCATCCAGAGAGGTTCTTGTTGGCACAGCCAGGCCACGGCAGAGACGGAATTGCGGAACACCCGGTGCTGGTGTCGGAATGCCGTGTGCGGGGACCTTGGTGGCAGCTGAGG